TTAACATTTGCGTTACATTTATGTATGGTCACTTAATGAGTTGGTGAAATTTTCGTCAGTTTTTAGGCCACATTGGTCTGAGTAGAGTGCTGAGAAGTTGAGCTTTGACAGATCCAACAAAAGCATCGTGCTGCTATTCCCTTTTCGTGCAAGGACGCAAATCCCGTTGGCATGCTGACGTGTAACGATTGTTTCTGTAACGGCCTCCACGTGTATGCATGCCTTTGCAGAGGAGCCTCGTTCCAAGAGCGTTAGGTTAACGTCGGGGAAAGCTTTAGAAATGACCGATATTTTTGCATGCCGTAAACAAATGTCAGCATATACGTCAAGGCTCTTGTTTATTCAGCTGAAAAAACATTACTTTCTAGTCAAAGAAAAGTGGTTAAGGCCTTAATGAGGTAAGAATCGTTTAAGAAGAGGCCAAGATGCATTTTAGGAGTGGCTGAGTGAGCAGAGACCGGCAAAGCGGGAAACGAGACTTTATTGAACAGGCCGACATGCATTGAGGACAAGAGATTTACAAAAGGACGATTCTAAGGGTCTGGTTTGGCTAAATGTTAATCCCATTGGGCGCCTTTAATATTTAGTCACAAATGGATAAAATCCAATGGCATTTTGTATTGACAGTAAAAGTTAAATGAAGACGAAAGCTGATACGAGCAGAATGGAAATAGCATTTTCAGATGCCGACAGCTTCCAACTGAATCGGTATGCAAAAGTACGAAAACGACTAACGTGCTGCATGGTGGGGCAGCACAAGAAAGCAGAATGATAATATCCTCAAAGCATGCGGAAAAAAAGTAACCAGATAAGTTTATATTTTCTGGCGAGACCCAAAGGGCAAAAGATTGAGGGATAAGAACGGCTGCGGTCAGGTAGGGTTCTGAAATAATAACTGGCACGGACACAGGAAGGATAGGTTTGCGCAATACAAGCGTACAAAAGCTACAAATATTTTGGTAAAGACCACTGAAGAAGTTAGGGCCGAACACAGAAAAGTTTGGCAACTAAAGAATACCCGACATTTAAACGGTAAAAAGGCGGCCTCAAACCCGAATTTTGAGTGTTGGAAGCAATAGCCTACATGCAAGAAAGCAGCATTTGTTTTGCCTCGGAACCTCCAGCTAGACAGTCTCACAAGATCTTTGTGGAAAGGAAATTATCAAAAGACACGCCTCGTAAGTGTAGAGAAGCTGTCCATGTAGAGGGCAAAGCACACGCCTTTAGTGGCTTGATTGAGATAAGAAAATTGAAGCAAAGTTCGCAGACAAGAATAGAGAATCAAGATTTCATGGGCTAAATGGTGTTGCCGCTTTGATGGCACATGATGTTAAGCGACCAACTATCAACTTACAAACCCTCATCAAATACCTTCCGAAAAACTAAATGTTTCCTCCGCATTCGGTCATGAACAGTAAAGCACTTCACCTGCATTGAGAAGCAACCTGTTCTATCGAGTCCTTTACAAAATATGAGACCAAAGGGAGATAGTCAAGTGTAAGACATATATGAACCATCGAAGAGTAATTAAAATACTCAGAAGACAAAATAATCCATTTCTTTGCCGCGAAAAGGACCGTAATGGTGAAGAGCACTTTAGTATGAGTATATTAAGCTAGGTTTTTAGAAAAAGATTCTGATTTTCAGACATATCGTAATCCAAAAAACCTAAATATTAGAATCAGTCAGAAAGATAGGGATTCAAGCCAAATTTTATGCCTTGGTCCAGGACTATGTACACGAACATTCCTGTCCAAAGAGCTATTCAAGCTCTGATACAAACTGTGGAAGAACATCCAGAGATAACACAAGGAATAAGGCTGAGTGTAGGTTTCATTGTTAGACTTATCAACCTATCCATGAGTACCAAATATTTTACGTTTGATGGTAATTTATATGAGCAAACACAAGGACTAGCGATGGGATCTTGTCTGGCTCCCATCTTGGCGAATAATTATATGGCAAGACTGGAGGAACATTTCCTGCATGAGGCAATACCAACCCGCAAATTGTTGGTTAGATACATCGATGACCATTTTGTCATTTGGCCTCATGGTTCTGAAAGTTAAGATAGTTTCCTACTTTCACTCAACCAGTATGAAAGAAACACACGATGAAAATAAAAAAGGATAAGTCCTTACTTTTTCA